GACTAACATTTTAATAAACATTTACTATGTGCCAGGCCCTGTTCTCAACACTTTACATGTATGAACACATGTAACCCTCACAACTACCCTCTAAAATAATTTCAATTACTCTCAGAATCACAGCGACTTTCAAAAGGAGGAAGCTGAGACAAAAAACAAGTAACTGGACAAAAGATGTAATTCAGCGGCATAGCACCTGCCTGCCAATTGAAACATCATGAGTTCAATTCCCAAAACAAAAACTAAATAAATAAATAAAGACAAGAAACCTGAACAAACTAACACAAATAGTAAATAGTGGAGGCAGTGAGCTACAGGCTCTAACTCCAGAGCCCTTACTACCATGAAATCTTACTTTTAGTATCAGTGATTTTATAGTAATAATACTTTTGGTTGTTGCTTTGTGGGAAGTGGAATCATTAGTATGAGCTGATATTTGAGCTCTGAGCTGACAGCGTCTTAATTAATGTCATTTCATCATGTGTATGTACCCTGTCTTAATTAGAGAACAAGTTTCTGAACGGCAGACATTTTTTTGTACATGCCCACAGAAAATTTTCAATCACAGTATTGAAATGAAACACAAACACAGACAGACACACAAACACACGAATTAAAAAAACCACCAATCAATTCCACATCAAGACATAATCCTCAAGGAAGTAATTTGTGTTTTTATTTTCTTTCAATTTTTTGTTAATAGCAACTTTTCCCACCAACTGGGGCAAAGATGTGAGCTCTGCAAACTTTCAAAGTAGTTTTTTGTTCCCACATCTCAGTGTAATTCTCATTAAGGCAGTAAGTAGTACTCATCTATAATCTGAGTGTTGGGCTTTCTTGAGATTTCCTCTACCAGATTAAGTAGTCTACCACTCTCAATCTCCAAAGTCCCAGGACATGGATAATGAGTAGACAAACTTTCTCCCAGGGTGTGACAGACATGATCTTGAGTCTGATTGCCAATGGGGTCTTGTTCTCAAGTGAAACCTCTTGAGTCTGGTCTCTGTACTTTTATCTGAATTCTGGTCTTCTGAGCTCTGACCAGAATCTCCCATTCAGCTCAGTGTATAACACTCTAGGTCTTCTTTAACTGGTATCTTCAAACCTTTGCAAACTCTTTCTGTGAACCAGTTCCGAACACCTCTAAATCACATTGTCAAGTAGAATCATTGTAACAACTTTACTTTGCATAGCAAAATCTGTTTTTAGTCACTTTCCTTATCACCGGGATGAAATACTTGACACCTATAACTTAAAGGAGAGGTTTA